GTTCGTTTATCTATACTGAATGTAAACATAGAACCACTGTTTGCGATAACTGAACAATATTTTTACTGTTAAGTGTGTTAAGTATTTATGATGCTGAAACAGTCAATATTTATCTGCTTGTAACCATTAATCATAAATTAATAATCTTGACTGATATTAATTAAAAATCGTGATTCTATTTCGATTTTTGGGTGATTGTTTACTCTGGCATAATCAGTTTGGATTAAAATATTTACTCGTGCATGTATTTAGTAGTCAGAGTTGTTTATCGAGAGTTAAACCTTCGAAAGTTAATCGCTCGAGGAGTCAACACCTGGCATTTCTGTGTAAACTCGGGGGGTTTACACAATCAGAATTGAACGTCCGTAAAGCAGAATTTTTCCGGTGTCTTCAGTGCGCGTGCTTTTATTTATAGTCGCGCCAATTCCAGCCATCTGCCAGACGCTTTTCTAAAAAATCCAATAAGCTGGTGAGTCAGTGAACCTATTACACCGAATTAAGCCCCTTAATTAAATACTTGATCATAATATATTAATTGCAGAGCATGCAGTATAGGGTGCAGGGTGTCGACCGACTCCGATCATCATCGACCCCGACCGAAAATCCTCCAGTCAACGCAGCGTCGGTGGAGTCCTCAGTTGTCCGCATTCGACCGTCGCGACGCTTTACAACTTGCGAGCTTTATTGTGCGATGACGTGAAATTTGGTGATTTTTGGTGGTTTCTCGTGCAGTGTGTGACCTCGTTATGTGTTGTGAACTTGTCTCTGTGCCAAAAGTGAAGTAATTGCGATTGAAATGGCCGGATTTTTACACTGGAGGCTCATTTGCTGCGTTTTGCACTTTTTTTTGCAAGGTAAAAATTATTTTCAACCGAAAATGAATTATTCATTTCCGCTGATTTTGATGGAATATCGAAAAGAAATAAATGCGGAAGAATGGAGATCAGAGTTGACAGGGAAACATGAGAACTTACAAGACCGTCGCCGACATCTAAGAGCTTTTGTGCAAAAAGCTCGACAACTCATTGACATCGGCTTTCAGATCAGATATAAACAACTTAAAGCCCAAATATTTTTACAAAGCTTTCAAAAGGCAGTTTATTTAATTCATTTTTGGCCATGGCGTAATTAAGGAAGGTCATTTATATTCTTAAATAAACTTTTAAAAGTAAATTGTTTTAATTTCTTAAAAATTCGCGTCTGAAAAAAATATTTTTAATTACACAATTATCACCAAAAAGTTAAAATAAATGCAACAGTGATAAACTTCTTTAATAAAAGACTTATTGGATTTTTGATCAATGAAATTAGTTTTTTTTGTCTTTCTGTTTTAATTTTGCACTTTTTCATTTGTTTGAATAAAAATATTCCATTATCTACCAAAAATAAAATAATTATTTTTGATATTTACAGATGTCTCAATTAAGAAAAGTCATTTTCTTAATTATTAAATAATCTTTTATTCACGATCATAAGTAAAACATTTCAACTTCATTCAACAATTGATGTGAAATATTAGTTTCAGGTTGGGAAGTGGTCACTTTCTTATCAGTTGACATGTAATGTGACAGTTCAGGCTGGGAAATGGTTACTTTCCAATCTAAATTCTCACGTTTTTTTTAAAGAGTATGATTGTGAATAAATAGTATACAAACTTTGGTGGTTGTTGCTTTATCGTACTTCGGCTTATCGCCTTGGTAATGAAGCATGTCTCACCTTGGTATGTAATCTACTATTTTTGATAAAATATTTCGGAAAGCGAATATTAATTTAAAATGGCTAAACAAATTGAATAGAAAATTCTTAATTGTTTAAATATTTGTTTCTCAAAAAATGAGTTTTATAACATCAAATTCTTACTAAAAAGTAAAATACATACAGAAATTACATTGTAGCTATTATTAAACAACTGTAATAAACTAATTAGCAAGAGTTCTTTATTTAGAAGACTTATTTTTTATTTTGTTGCTTGATTGATTTTTGTTGTTTTTTTAGTTAAACTTGTGTTTTATTTTCTCTGCACATCTTCATTTGTTTGAATCAAAAAATTCAATTATCTACCAAAAACAAACCATCGATTTTTGATATTTTTAGGTGAATTAATTAAGAAAAGTTATTTATTTTCATTCTTAAATAAATTTATTGTCTTGATAAAATATTTCGCTAGTTTTTAGTTAAGGAAAAAGCTTCAAATGTATAAACAACAAATTGAATCGTTTTAATTTCTTAAAATTTGCGTCTTAAAAAATTAACATAGAAATTACGCAACTGTGATAAATCTATTGGAAAGAGTTTGGAAGATTTATTTTTATTTTGATATTCAATGGGTTTTTGATCAATGAAATTTGTTTTTTTTAGTCTTTCTGTTTTTATTTTTTCTGCACATTTTCACTTGTTTGAATCAATTTTTTTATTATCTACCAAAAATAAATTACTGATTTTTGATATTTATTGATATTTTAATTAAGAAAAGTCATTTATACACATACTTC